TAACTTTCAATTTTTTCTAAAATTTAGAAAATAATATTATTTTTTTCCCGTCAAGTTAAATTGAATGAGTTTTAATGATATCTTCCAGCTTCAACATTGTCTTTGTCTCTTGCTCTAGGTTTCTCCTTCTACTTCTTGGGTTAAAGACATATTTTCGTCGGAGCCAAGGACAGCATCATCGCTGAGCGACAATCCCTCTTCATGGTTAGACATATTCTCATCGAAACCAAGGTAGCATCACCACTCAGCGGCGATCCCTCTGCAGTTTTCGATTATCGAGAAAGTGTTTCTCTACGCTTCCTCTGAACCAGGTTATTGACATCTTCACAAAAAGTGTTTCTCAACCTCTCTTTAAATTTTTTAGATCCAAACTTCACGTTTGTTCAAATCCGACGCTCAGCTTGCAAGAGTGTTAAAGTTATTTAATACTAAATTATAGTTTACCATATATATCCTATTTAATATTTTATTAGATATTTGCCTTCTTAACTATAGGTATCTTCTTATTTATTGTTATTTCCATTTATTACTCATTTTATATTCTTGTTATTTACTTGATTATAAATAGATAACTTTTACCGGTGGGGTGAATTAAGAAACATCCTCGGTCAATATTTAAGATTAAAAAATTAAAGAAATTCTTTTTATAAAAGTATATGGGAGAATCAAAAGCTATTAAATTGTAAAATATACTTAATGCCATGTTCAATTGAGTGAAGCCCTACAAAGACAAGAAAGTTTTGTGTCTCTTAAGGTAATGGCAACAATGTTTTTGTATAATCTTAAAAAATAAATATGTTTTTTTTTTTTTTTTTTTTACATAAATGGTCACATGACTAAGCAATGCACTAGTCAAAATAAAGTTGAGTTTTAATTATGAGGATTTAATATTTTTTATTTCTAATATTTTAATAACTGTCTTATAGATTCTTCCTAATTTTCTTTTAAATTGAGGAATATATTATGGCATATAAAATTGTAATTTTTTAATTTATTTTTAGGGATCCTCATAATTTCCCATTAATTAATCTATGCTTCTAAATTAAGAAAAATAATAAAATGGAAAAAAGAGAGAAAAGCATGACTAAAGTGAAATGGGCTTTTTGTCATAATGTGGTTGTGGCGTGCAATGGGCTTTAATGGGCTCAAGGAAAGTACTCTTGGAAACATCACTTTCTCCTTCATATCTCATCATCACATCCCCTCGTCCTTCACGTGGACCTAATTTCCCATTTATTATTTGTCCTCAAATAAGTATTTAATAATTGTCTGAAACTTATAAAACAAAATATTCGACTAATTTAAGCTCGTATTTTTACTATATACATTTTCATGAATATTATTTACTATTCAAATACAAAATATTCGATCATGTTATAAAGATGCCATTCCATTTGAGACAAATTCATGAGATACGGTTCAGATTCATTTTATACCCATGAAATGGTCCTTTTGATGTTTGGTTTTTATTTCTTTTTTTTTTTTTTTTTTTTTT